TCTTCCCGGATGTGAAATTCGTGCTGACCCGCACATAACTTCCAAAATGCATGTTTAGAAGAAAACATATGCGAGTTTGGCCAATATCAAAGCAAATAAATCGGGTTTGGGATGGAACGATGTTTCAAAAAGCTTCTCCTGTGATGATGATAAGTACCAATCGTTGATGAAGGTTTGCTTAAAATTCCAACTCTGAATCGTCTATATATTTCACATAATTTACATATTCTCATTATATTTTTTTTTTGCGTCCCAACCTATCGCTAATAGGTTGATCCAAATGCGAATGGACTGAGGAACAAGTCTTTCCCCCACTTCGATGATTGGGAGGTCATCTTCGGGAAAGACAGGGCATGTGGTGGTGATGCTCAGTCTTTCGCAGACGCAGCGCAGGATGTACAGCAAGACCCGTCGTACGAAGAATACGATGAGATCCCTTCGCAAACCACGCAGCCCACCCATGGCCCGGGCAATGATGCCGGTCAGTCGTCGGGTACGACATCTGAAAGTAATTCCAAGAGAGGGGGGAAGACGAGGGGCACCAAAAGGAGGTCCGCACACTTGGTGGACGATCGTTTCATCGATGTCATGGAGACTTTCTCGCTGAACACGGATGGCCGGTTGGCCGAACTCAGTGCCAGACTGGGCAACGAGCAAGCAGCACAGGCTCAGGCGACGCAGGCTCAAATGGGTGAAGTAATGGATGCGCTCCGGACTTTCAACTTTCTATCCGGTGAGGAGCGAATGGTGATATGCTTGCGTTTATGCAACAATGCGAGGGAGCTTGCTATGTTTTTGGGCATGGGGGAAGAGGATAGGCCACTCATGGTGAGGGTCATCCGCGATGGTTGGGGGTAGTGTTGCTAGTGGGAAATCGTTGTGTCGCGTTATGTTGTCCTTTTCTTGTGAACGGTGTGAACTGTTATTGTTGGTTTTGTGGTTTTGTGGTTGTTGCGACATGTGTTTGTAGTTTTGTTGGGATTTGTGAATGTGTTTGTGGTTTTGTTGTCCTTATCCGGTGTGGTTTTGTTGGGATTTATGAATGTATTTGTGGTTTTTGGGACATGATCAATGAACTGTTATTTTTTTTATTAGAATGGTCACCATGTATTGTTAGATTTTTTTACCTCTGTTTTTCTTCAACTTATTTATTTTATTTATTTTCTTTAAATTGTTATTTTCTTTATTTTTTCTTTAAATTGCTAGAATTTTTTTTTCTTCAACTTATTTATTCTTTATGCTATATCGCTCTTGCAGGGTCACTATGGCTACTTACAATGAAAACCCGCCATGGGGGTGTTTCTACGTATATATGGACATGCCAGACTACCCCATCATAGTAAGTTAAACTTCATAACATGAGAAAAACTAATGACAAGAAAGAACCTCAAAACCTGAAAAAAAAAACAATGGGAAAAAAACAAAAGAAAAAAA